CCCCGCGGCGTCGGCCTGGCTGTGGCCGCGGCCCCGCTGCTCCTCGGCTCCGACATGGAAGATGGACCCTCCACGAACGCGAGCTGCTTCCGAAGGCTCACCGAGTGCTTCCTGAGCCCCAGTAAGTGCTGGCTCCGCAGCCGCTCGGGGCGCCGGTCCCAGCCGGCCGGGAGGGCGCCCTTCCCTTCGGAGCCGGGCGTCGGGAGGCGCGCAGGCCGGGGCGGGCGGCGGGGTCCGCTGCGAGCTCCCGGCCTCGGGCCGCGTGCGCGGCGGCCGCGTGGTGCAGCGCGCGGAGCGGGAACGGAGAGGGAGCCGGGGCAGTGGAGAAGGGAAGCCGGGGAGCGCGGGAGCGCGGAGCACGGAGCTGGGGCAGGAGCCCGGGCGGCCCTCCTTCGCGCCAAAGACGGGAAGCCGCGCCGGAGCCGGGCAGGCAGGGACCGGGACCGCGCCCCGCTCCGGTCCGGCCGCCGTTTCTGGCCGAGCTCGCCCTGCAGTGGGTGGCGCGGCTACAGCTCCGCTAGCTGGGCTCTGAGCGGGTCTCCGCCGGGAGGGCGCACACCACCTCCCTTGGGGCCAGCCACCAGCGCCCCTGGCCGGCAAGGAAGTGGGGCCGGAGCGCGCGCGGCCTGGAAAGGCGCAGACCCGCTCCCCCTGCCGCTCGCCTGGGCGCTGTCCGGTCCCAGCCGCCCTCCATGGACCACGTTTGGGACAGACATCAGATCAGTGGGAGCGAAGCAGGATGCGGACGTGCCCAGCGAGGACAAAGCCACCCTGCATGGCTGACTGATGGCACTCTGCGCGGCTGGTACCCAGTGGGGGGGGAATGACAATGAGTCCAGGGTTTAAGTGGCCATCGGACCTGATGGGCGCGCCCTTAGCCAGCCATGCCACCGTGCAGGGGTGACAGGGATGGTCACAGAGGGGACACCCAGGCCAAGGCCAGAGTGGGCAGAAGGGAGAGACCGAGATGCTTGTAGAAGGAGCCCACGGCAGCACTGCCAAGAGTGGTGGCCAGATGAGGGGGCCCACAGTGACCCGGTGGAGAACCACCCCCTGTGTGAAGCAGGCCACTATTGGCCACACTGGTGAACCACCCAGATCCTCTGCCCTCTGGGGTCCTAGGACCTCGCTTTCTGGCCCCACCAGCTCATTGTCCCTTTGCCCATTCTCGCCATGAGGGCTTTTGTGTTCCACGTGTCCCAGGTGCGTAGCCTGGAGTAGGTCCGCTCTGGTGTGACCCCTGGGTGCTCCTCGCTGGAAGCAAGCCCTTCAGACAGGGCCCAGGCCACCTTCCGGTCCCTGCAGCTGTGTCTCCTCATCAGGTACTTTTAGAGGGTACAGTTTCGAGCTGTGGGCAGAGGTGAAGGCAGGAGTAGCCGTGGCTGAGCCTCTTGGCCCTGGCCTCTGGGTGACAGAGGTCTTGCTCTGTTGGTTTCCAAGTAAGTCATCAGAGACCAGCGAGGGGCTCTCCACCAGCTTTGATGAGGGCTAGCTTGGCTGTGGTCCTCCTCCTGTCACACTTGTGAATTTCTTAATGAACAACAGACCCCTCCTGAAGCCTCAGTACTTTCCCCAGGTGACCTCAAGTGGGATTAGGATAAAAGAGCTCACTCTGGAGCAGGATTCAGGCCTGCTGGGGGGCAAAGGCCATGGGAGGGGGTGCAAGGTGTAGCCTGGGAGGCATCTCTGTGTCTTCAGCTGTTCTGTCTGTTTGTCAGGGGTCCAGGAGTGAGGTTTTCTGAGAGTGGGGTGAAGTGTAGCCCCAGAGGGCCTCAGGGTGAAGATGACCTGAGACGGAGCCACATCAGACTTCGCCTTTAGAGAAAGAGAACCTGGGAAGGGCAGGGGCCTGGAGGAGACCTTTGTGCAGGTAGAGAAGCTGATCTCCCCAGAAACCAGACCTGTCACCATCTATGCCAGGTCCCCAGCCCCTAGCCTGGAGTCTGAGTGGGAGCAGGTCTCCTGAATTCCCATGTGGAGTATCCAAAGGTAGGAGCGCGTCTGTGCCCCAAGTTTCTGTGGATCCACGGTTCCCCTTATAGGAAGGAGTGGGAACAACCTGTACAGCTTCTTGGCTTGAAAATCTTTCTGGTCTAGTCTCTTTTGAACTTTTCTATGTGGAACGAGAAAATCAGGATTAGAGTCCTGGCCCAGCCAGGCGTGGGTGGGTAAATGGTGCTCCATCGGCTGAGGTGAGGGCCTGAGCTTGGAGGTGAGGGTGGGCTGGGGTCAGGGGTCGATCTGGTGGTGTTCAGTCGGAGGGGCATTGTAGTGGAGATGCTAAAGAGACAGGTGGATGGTAGAGCCTGGAGGCAGGGCTGATGAAGACAGGAGGGGAGATCCTGTATGTTTGGAAGTTAGAGTCAGAAGGTCGGTGTCCCAGCGAGTGAACACAGCTGCTCCTCGTGACTGTTGAGTTTTCCGGGGAACGCAGATGGGATTGCTCAATAAACAGCAGTCGGAGAGACTGGCATGCTGGAAGGATGTAGAGGCTGGGAGGTCCTGCGGGGATGTGGAGGCTGTGAGGTGTTGGAGGGACTGAGTCTGTGAGGGACTGGAGGGATGGAGGCAGGAGGTCCTGCGGGGATGTGCAGGCTGTGAGGTATTGGAGGGATGGAGGCCGTGAGGGACTGGAGGGATGTAGAGGCTGGGAAGTCCTGGAAAGTTGGCCTCTGGACATGTTCTCTGTGGATGCGCTAGAGACGGCTCTCCGAGTCTGCAGCATTGAGGTGGAGCTGAAGCCAGAGGCGTTCCCGAGCCTTCGAGATGAAGATGCAGAGTGAGAAGAAGCCAGAAGAGATCTGAAGGAGAGGAAGCACTCAGGGACCCTGGGAGGGGTGCACAGGGAAGATGGAACAGACATGGGGTTCCCAGGAGGAGCTTCTGGAAGGAGGAGACCGGATGTCACAGAAGCCCAGTAAGTTCATGCATTTGGAATGCAGTGAGTGACCTCCGCCCACAGAGGCTATGGGTGCAGGAGAGGGATGGGGCTGTGAGGGACAGGGAGGACCACTGTTGAGGACAGCCTGGAGGACAGCCTGGAGGATGTGTACGTTGAGGTGAAGGAGTTGGAAGAAGTAAGCTGAAGAGATGAACAAGCTTAGGGAAGACAGCCAGGAGAGATGGTTGTGGACACACCAAGGCTGCACGCTGGAAGGGGCAGCTGTTTTCTTGAGGGGCGCAAGGAGGGCCAGGCGTGAATGCAGACGGGGGTTAGGTGGATGGGGATGGCTGAGAAGTGAGTGAACACCTCGTCCTCATCATCTGACTAACGGAGCTCTGTTCCCGACAGGCCAGTCCTGGGCCACCTTCGCCATCGATGGTGGGCTAAGGCCAGTGTGGTAGCCGCTGTGTCCGGCATGTCATTGGCTTCCCCTGGTTTCTTGGACCATGGTTCGTGCTGACCATGACCATGTTGTCCTCCCAGCATGATGTGGAAAGTCAGCGAGGGTCACTAGGCAGTCACGTTGCCTCAACAGTGGGCTTCACTTTCTTGGCCTTTTCCAATAATTGGCATTTCCTGGTGACCGGACCAAAGCCAGAAAGGGAGACTCATCATCCCTGGTTTTTGTGTTCCTAACCCAGAGGCAAGGAGGTTCAAGTCCATCAGCTGCTCTGAGGGAGAACGAGGAACAAGTGCCTTTTGTGGGGTTTACAGCCTCTGAAAAGCTACTGGGGTCGACTCTGGGTCAGTTACCACGCGAAGGCAAAACCATGCGAAGGCAAATGAGTATTTTCAGTTTTGATGCTTCTAAGGAATGTTGTTGGCCACTCCCTCCCTCCTTTCCTCCCTAATGAAAGTGGGGCTGGTGGTCAAGCAGGAGAAGAGGCAGGTGGGCTTGTCGGGCCCATGACAAGGTGACAGGAGTGAACTGTGGGTCCCAAAGGGAAGATGATCCCATTGGAGGCCAGCAGAGCCCGGAAGGTTGACTAGCCAGAGCCCTGCGGACAGCTGCTGACTTCTAGAGAGCCCTCTGCCTTTCTTTTCTTTTTTTTTTTTTTTAAGTAATTTTAATGATTAAGTTTCCAGAGACGTAGGGTTTCCATTCATTCATTGTTGCACTTTTCTCCCATTTGTTGCCTTTGACTAGGAACTGATTCACAGCTGACCCTCCTGTGGGTTTTCTCAGTCTGTAAATCACACAGAAAAAGATTGCTTGTCTCTCTCCCACTGAGCAGCTGGTGGTTTCCACCTTACTTCAGGATGCTTTGTCCGTTGTGGGGTGCAGGCACTGAGGGAGCACGTCCATTGAAGTAAACAGGTACCCTGAGTTGCAGAAAGGGGATGCTTTCAGGAGGACGTGTCTGGCAGGCTGGGATGCACAGGGTGTTGGGGACGGGGGTGTTTGCTGTGCACTGAGCGGTGGGGTTCAGGCAGACAGCTGACCTGGCAGGGTGGCAGCATGTGCTGAGGGCCACAGAGTAGAGATTTTTGGTGGGTGATTCCTCCTGGTCCAAGGGGCTATGGGCACGTAGCCTGAAGGGCCAGCCCCCTACTTTCTTCTCCTGGTGAAGGGTTCAGGGACTGAATGGGCTCAGATAAGGTGCTTGTTGCATGTCGTCTGTGACCCAGCTACTCACCCATTAGGGACAGCAGTTGTGTCAGGCCAGACATGCCAAAGAGGGTGCAGACAAGGTCAAGGGCAGTGAGGGTCTGTTTAAGGACAGCGCTCTCCCTGGTGTGTTCTCCTGGCCACAGGGTAGGCAGAGCTCCTGTTGTGTCGTGTTGAGGCTGCTCTCTGCCTCACGTCCGTGTCTCTTTCTCACGTTCTCTCCTCAGGTCAGGTGGAGGCAGCCCCTAGCTGCTTCTACAGAGCCACCACTCACTGCCGTAAAGCAGCTGTCACAGTGCAGGAGGGCCTATGAACAACTCCTGTGCGTAACAGTGTTGTTGATACTGTACTGTATTAAAGAAACACTGTGGCTTAGTGGTAAGAAGTTGTGCTGCCATCCCAAAGGTACACGGTTCGAATCCACCAACTGCTTTGTGTGATAAAGCAGGGCAGTCTCCTCTCATGTGATTTAAAGCCTCTGAAAACCTGCTGGAAGGTCAGCTGTGAGTCCGTTGTGACTTGACAGCACACAACACCACAGCGTCCTCTGGCAGGGGGCTGTAGTGGT